AATTTGAAGATTTTCAACGTTTTCCTCAAAATTCTTGGATTATTGATTTTGTTTGTTTTTCTGTAACGGAACATCAAAAACAAAGGTATATGTTCGTAGATGCTTAACATGAAAAAAAAGAAATGGACTAATGTACCTTCAGTATCCGCTTAATTTTCTGTGATATAATTCTTCATATCTGCATTTTCCATTCCATTTCAAAATTAATGAATATTTTGTCCCCACTTTCTTTATCAAATTCTTTCAAATACCTTCTTCAGTGAAGCCAAATCCCTTAATACTGAGTAATTTTCATTTAAGCCTACATTCTTGAAAGAATTGCTTCAGTGGTCATTAACACCTTTGTCTTTTGTTCTAATATCGGACTGTCTCAGGTAAATCAAAAGCAATGTTTTAAGTACGATACATGCCTAATACAATTCTGTATTAAAAAATATGCAGACAGGTTTCGGCCCTAACGGGCCTCAAACTGTCTGTTATTTTTTAATACAGAACTGTATTCGGCAAATATCCAATACATATCTAGTAAAGTGTTATTACAGGAGGAGTATAATTTTTTAAAATTAAAATTTTCAATTTCTTTAAGACATTCTTGTTGCGAGTTCATTTTTAAACCGTTTCCATAAATAAATATTGTTACTGTTTTATTAATGTAATTTCTCTAGATCATTTCTAGACTCAAGAAATAGTTTTTAAGTTTCTCACCATATATATTCGATGTCTTCTGGCTATTCCCACTTTTTAAAAATATCAATTCCACCTTTTCCCACTTGCAAATAACAAAAGATGTTTAGATTTACCTGTATTTTGTATATTTTAAGACAGAAAATATTGAATACATCTATGAGAAAATATGTATTTGGGATTTTTTGAGTAATGAAAAGATCTTATACAAAAAAGCAACTTAATACCTAAATTTAAGAACATAGTTGATTATTTGTTTACACAGAATTCCACCTATTCCCACATAAAGTCTTACTATTTTCTACATGATTTTTAAAAAGTGGGAATAGGTAGAATTCGATTTAACCTATATGTTCTACCCATTTAGCTTTTGGTCTTACAAACAGACCATTAATATGTTTTCTAACTTCTTCAAATTCAGATTTTGCAGTATAAAGTTTTTCATCAGTTTCGTGAGTTTTGTGTGGATTATTTTATTTGGTTAAAGACATTCGCAACCTCAAAATTAATCAGTTTTACCTTGGTCATAACTTTTGCATATTATAGAATAACTTCCTAAAGAAAAAGGGGAACCTGTTTGGTAAATATGAAGCGAGGAAAAGACGTTGAAAAAAGGAATCAAGTTTACGTCTTTCTGTCGATTATTTTATTAGGTAAAAGGCATTCACAATCTCAAAGTGAAGCAGTTTTACCATGGGCATAACTTTTGCATATTATAAAATGACAACAACTATAGTTACTATGCACGAGGGTCACTGTATATATGAATATACATGTATAATATATTATGGGACAAATTAGTGAGTTTGCATGCATATTGCTGGCGTAATTATATTGGCGTATCACTATATTTATAAATGCTCATACCGTAAAAACCTATTGTTTGTGGGTCACTATATATATGCATATACTGAAATATGGGATATATATATTGCACTAGATTTAAACTAAATAAATTGTTGGTCACTGAATGTATGTATACATGTATAATAATTGTTTTATAAATATACTTCATGTGATTAAAGTGATTGCGGGTCATTGTATAATTATGCATATGAAGAATTGAAGGGGGCTTAATGTAATGATTGTACCAGTTTGTGGGTCCCTGTATATATATGGATGTGGGATAATTATAATATTTCACGTGATTTTCACTGATTGTTGGTCACTGTATACATGCATTTTATGAAGTTTGAAATAATATATTGCACTAATTGTGAGTTACTGTTTATAAATATAAAATGAATTGTGGGATAAATTATCGCACCTGATTATAACTGATTGTGGGTCAATGTTTATGTAAAGAATTGTTAGATAAATAAGTAAGTAAATCGTTTATCATAGCGGCATGTGTTATCATACAATACAATTATATCAGAAACATTTACGGTAATACAAATAATCAAACACTCGGCCCTATATGTTACTTTTAACAAAAAATAAAGGAAAGATATATACCGCTGCACAAAAATTTTATGCGTAGCGGTTTTCTGTACAACAAAGATTGCATTTGCATGCATGATTAATATAAATATTTTTATGTGTGCCAAGGAAAATGCGTTAAAAGGAAAATAAAAATATTAAGATCCGACATAGGAAAAACTGGGTTGCAATTAATGCTAGTAAATAAATCTGATCTGTATTTCAAGTACATGTATTCTGTATAATTCAATAAAAAGTGGCACTTGTTCTCTACTTCATCTTTAGAAAAAAATTAATATACTGCACGTGGTTATAACTGATTGTGGGTCACTATAAATATGTATATATAATGAATGGGGGGGGGGGGGTTAATGTAGTGATTATACCAGTTAATGGGTCACTGTATACAAGTTTATAACGGATTGTGCGATGAATATATTGCACTTGATTAAAACTGATTGTGGGTCACTGTATATACATTGTACATAATAAATTGTGGGATTAATATATTGCAGGTGGTTAAAACTATGGGTCACTGTATATATGTATATGATGAATTGTGGGATAAATATACCGCACGTGATTATACATGATTGTGGGACACTATATGTTTAAAATGTGTAGTGATCATCGCTGTTTGTGGGTCACTATGTATATTTAACATCGTTGGGCAGTTGATTGTATAAATTATATTGCCAAAGAGCATAATCCCTAGAATATCTTGTTAAGATTCTTTTAAATAAGATATCACAGTGAATCATTATGATCCGATAGTACTCATGAAGTAATATTGAAAATGTTGTGCAATAAATATATTGCACATGATTAAATCTGATTGTGAGTTACTGTTTATGAATATAAAATGAATTGTGGGATAAATTATCGTTCGTGATTATACATGTAACCGAATGTGGGTCACTGTTTATATGTTATAAAGAATTGTTGGATAAATAAGTAAGTAAATCGTTTATTATATAGCGGCATGTGTTATTATACAATACAATCACATTAGAAACATATAATACAAATATTCAAACACTCGGTCCATGGGACCTGTATGTAACTTAAAAAAAAAATAAAGGAAATATGTATATAAATATATACCGCTGCACAATAATATTACGCATAGCGGTTTTCTGTACAACAAAGCATGCAATTGCATGTATGATTAATATAGATATTTTAAGGTCTGCGTAGGATTAAGAGGAAAATAAAAGTATTTAGATCCGACATAAAAAAAGTTCCGCCGAAATATGGCTGAGATATTGCCGCCTCGGCGTTAAACAATATCAATAAATCAACCAATCATAAAAAAGGTGGGCTGCCATAAATGTTAGTAAACAAATTAATGTGATCCATATTTCGAGTATTTTGTATAATTTAATGAAAAGTAGCACTCGTTCGCTACTTTATCTTTGAGAAAAAAATACATAAATATGTTACTGATTGTGGGTCACTGTATGTATGTATACGAAGAATGGGGTGGAGGTGTTAATGTAGTGATTATACCAGTTTTGGGGTCACTGTATGTATGTATTTAACGGTTTGTGCAATAAACACATTACACTTGATTAAAACTTACTGTGGGTCACTGTATATACATTGTATGTTAATCATGAATTACTGGATTAATATATTGGAGGTGGTTTTAGCTGTGGGTCACCGTATATATGTACATAATGAATTGTGGGATAAATATACCGCACGTGATTATATATGATTGTGGGACACTCTATGTATAATGAATGTAGTGATCATCGCTGTTTGTGGGTCACTATATATATATATCATCGTGGGACAGTTGATTGTATAAATTATATTGCCAAAGAGGATATCCCTAGAATATCTTGTTAAGATTCTTTTAAATAAGGTATCGCAGTGAATCATTATTTAATATGATACGAAAGTATTTGGAAAATAATATTGAAAATTCAGCGAAACTGTTCTTAATGGTTAATTTTACTTTGTATATAAGTAAATATAAATACATGAATATATTTATAAATATTTGATCAAACATTAATTCTAATATCTTTTCATTGGGAATTACAGCAAATAATATAGTTATATCGCATAAGATAATGTTGCGGGTCACAAAATTCATATATGAAGAGCATTGTGCGATGTATATAGTTTATCCCACAATGCTCTATATATATAAATGTTTTGACCCACAATTATTTACAATATTTTTAAAATTAACTCAAAAATAATATCATATATTATATAAGGACCATATATAATGCCTAAATAATGAATATGGCATAGCTATGCAATTTAGAAATGCGAGATCCCACAAACCAGCTTAGAAGCTCGGTGCCCACAAACAACCTCATACTACCTATATATATATATATATATATATATATATATATATATATATATATATATATATATATATATATATATGTATGTATTGCATCATTCACACAATTAAGTAACATTTTGATTGATTGATTGATTGATTGATTGATTGATTGATTGTATACTGTTTAACGTCCCTCTCCAGAATATTTCACTGATATGGAGACGTCACCATTTTTGGTAAAGGGCTACAAATTCAGGCCTATGCTCGGCACTAACGGCCTTTGAGCAGGGAGGGATCTTTATCTTGCCACACCTGCTGTGACACGGGGCCTCGGTTTATACGGTCTCATCCAAAGGTCCGCCCCGTTTAGTCGCCTTTTACGACAAGCAAGGGGGTACTGAGGACCTATTCTAACCCGGATCCCCACGGGGCATTTTGTATGAATTTTTAATTAACATTCTTTAAGATTATCCTCATTCATGGTGATGATATCATCATCAATTTAACGTTTTGCTTTATATAATACCAGTAAAAGTACAAAACATTCAGTTGCATTTAAATATTAATGTACTTTAAATTGTCATACTTTTCCCCCAATATACTCAATACTCTTCTTGTTGAATGTATGTTTGGGAAATGCAGATTCAACGGTTGGTTTTGGTATATTCCATTGTCCTTCTTTCAGGAGGTACATTGATAAAATATTTGGGTATTCTGTGGTCAGTTTCCCCTGTGATTAAAATACAAAAAAAAAACATTACAGGAAAAGATATTTTATGTAGAAAAAGGTTAACTTAACTTACTTCATTACAAGGTAAAGCTTTTTTTTAAAACAGGACAGAATAATAATATCACCATTATCAACACCAACACCTTTATTTACACTTACAAAAACACTGTATTTCCGGTCTGATGGAGATGCCATTAAAACTAAAATAAATAAATAAAAATATATAATTTGATTGCTCGAGCATAATGTAAACAAACCTGGAAATTGTTTAATTGAATCAAGGTTATGTTTTGCTTTAATTATTTGGTGTATTGTTAAAACTAGCATAAAGTTGACACTTTGTTGATCATAATTCAATTTGACATGTACACCAGTAAGGTTTATCTTCTAAAATCTGTTTTGCTGTATTGTTTACAGTGTTGTACCCTCTCCGGGGGATTTGGATAGCAAAAAAAAATAGCACGTTATCATTTGAAAGTTTCAATGAAATATTCAAACATTCACTTAGCCCTTTATCGGACAACAAAACTCTGAAAGGAAAATAAAACCCACTTACCTCCGATTAGTAAGTAGCAAAGAATGGCGTCAACATTTAACGATTGACTACAAAGCAAATCACTCAGAAAAACAATTTCATTCAAGGATTGATTGTTGCTTTTCTTGAACGATATATTTAAAGGTTTTATTCGTTCTCTTTGCCAAGGAGCTTTCATTTTGAATTGATGTTCCAATCCTTTATATCCCTTTCCTTGACAGATGTTTAAATCCGTTAAAACAGAAGCATCATCTCCAGATATCTTTTTAAAAAGACACGAAAGAGTCAATAGTGTAAATACCATACAAGTGAAACGAAAAATGTGTTACAACTGCTTAATGATTTTGTCACAGAATGCCTGAATTGCATTATCATACAAATCACATCGATTCTAAACAATAATTTTAGTAAAATATGATTATATTTTGAATCTATACGGGTTTATATAAAGCAAAACATTTATTTTACTGATGCTACGTCGATGAAACAACACTTACTTTGTTTGTTAAAATGATTAATTACATAAAATTCTTTCATTGTGTTTGCATTTTGGTAACAAAAACTGTATTTGATCTTGTTTCATTTTTTTCAAATAATTCCTGATTTACAATGTTGATATTTATCCAATTAAATATTTATAAAAAATGATAAGATTTTTTCACTAGTTGAAATTTGAATTACTTATATTTAACTCTATTAAATATGAGACATGATTTAAAAAAGGGCATAAACAACGAACCTTGAAAAATATGATAGGTATCTTGTCACCCATCGCAAAGTCTAAAACTTTTTCTGAAGCCTTCCCATTCCCCAGGGAAACAATTATTGGTAGAGGAAAATCGGCTGATAAATCTACAAAACATAACATTACAGTTAAATGACAATTTTTTTTTAAGATAATATATAAAATAAAATTGTAAAATGAAATAGAAAATCATTTTTTTTTTTTGGTTATGCAATTAAAAAATTTTATTTGGTTTTAATTAGCAATGCTGCTTATGAAAGATCGTGATTCAGTGATATATAGATTTTCTCATATCACAATACAAAACCAACTATAACATAAATCATTCTCTATAAAAACCTAGAAAATAAAGAATTTTCTAAACAAACATGTCCAAGTTTAAAATAAAAAAAATAACTTTGTTAAAAAGAAATTATCAAAGTACGATTAAGAAGGAAAGGGAACTGTTGGGCATCTCAGTAAATTAATTCTTATGTAACAGTATTTAGTACCATTCAGATTCATATTGACACCAAAGCAGTCCCAGAAAGCAGTCCCCGCAGTAACACTATAGCTCCGTAAGTGCGTAATTTCGGCAGGAGAGGGGTCAAGGAAGTCAGGGGATGATTTCTATTATAATATTTTAATAAATTGAAGCTGTTAAATCAACTTAGTAGAAGTTAGTTGATTCAGCAATTCTAAAAAAAAACAACTTGTCATTCAGTAGAATATTAAGATGGACATGCGGCACTGCATTCTATTTTACTAAATTAAAAAAAAAAACGCATACCGTGCTTAAACAGAATGCTAAATGTTTTTTTACCGCCTTCAAATAAAAGTTGATATTTATTAAATGACTACGAAATAAAATTATTCTTACATTCTTCTGTCACAAAAACAACGTGACAAATTAGTTGGCGATTAATTTATGAATTATGTTTTGATTTATAGACAATTTATTAAAAGCGTACACATATTAAAAAAAATAAACATTTGAAAGTCTTGGGCATTGTGATTTATTTTTCTATTTATTTCATTTGTATTTACCTGGCCGATTTATAAAAAGCAATACAATTGTATAAATTGTGTCAACATCTGATGTTTTGATCGCCTTGGTCATAATTAGCACAAAGACAATGCATGTTATTTGGGTATCAGCGTTAAACGAAACTGAACAGAGTGGTCAACAAGGACAAATTATTGCTAAAACATCTTTTAATAATTACGTATCAATTTATTTTGGGATTAATTAACTTGGATGAAATTATGAGAGCTCAATACGTGTGACTTACAGATGTACACTCGATCATATACACAATGAAACACTTAAAACCGAGAATCCAACGATAAATAAACTGATAAGTCATTGAAAATGATAATGGCTGAAATATATACTCGGAAATATGTAACAAAGATTGTTTTTAAAAGCTCCCATACATACAATGTAAAAAAAGGATTGAAAGAGTGTAGTATGAGAATCGGTCTTGCTCTTTAATAAAAATATCTACTTAAAATCTACATGTAATTTTTATTGGAAATAAATAATTCAAATTAAATTTTCTATATTAATCAAATAAATATGAGGACCAATATTAACCATTCAGAATAAAGAAATTGATTTATTAAGGTGAAAAATTAATACATGTATAGCAATTCACTGTGTTTGAATTTCAGGTTATTAAAAGGTGTGAACGCTCGGGTATGTTAAAGAAGCATACACTGTATGTCATTTCTCGGAAAATAAAGACCTTTTTTTAAAAAAAGTTAGTTTGATAAATTACCAAAGCCGCTGATAAACGTAAACTCTTATTAACTATTGCACACAGATACAAGTGCCACCACATCAAGTGAGTCCTATTAAAACGAAATTTTCCTTAATGAAAAGGCTAACAGAACAACAATACCCGGGAGGTTAATAATTTATTTGAGTAAATAATCTGCTAGAATCCCGTTGTCCTGACAGTAAAATAATTATTCCACACATTTACACGAAATATTATTGTTTTGAATTTTATACATATGAACCGAGATTTTTCTTAACTGGGGATTCTGGCAGCACGCTCCAAGTTTGTCAGAAGGCAATCTTTCCATCTGTACAAATCTTAAGTTTTGAAATATCCAGCTTATTGTTGTTCTGTTGGATTATTTTTGCCACGAATGACAGAGGGAGGCCGACCGGGATACGTATATAGCTGCCTCACTCACGGTCTTGGAAAGAGAATATAATCGAATATAATCGATGAAAATAAATTCGCATGCCTGTTTAATTAACTGAATTCCATATGAATTTCATAATATTTATGATATTTCGTTTAAGGTAGGATTCATCTCACATTACTTGTATTCAAAAAATGAAATTTTCACAGAATTAAGACAATATCACTAGGTGATGGTATCACTGAGATTAAATTTGACCATTTAATATTAGAGACAAGGCCAGGTCAAGGTCATTACCTTTTCACTGGACGTTAAGAATAAAAAAATACTTTTTCCAAATACGCGATCCCTACTTGTATTTCGAAAGATTGAATACTTTTCTTTTTGCATAAAACGATTCTACAATAAAGGGCCTATAGGATGATATTATAAAATCGACATAAGTGATTTCTCTAAAATGGATATTGGCTAATCTACATTTTTTCTACTTTTTAAAATTTCTAGGATATATTAGTTATTTCTATATGCTTCCTATATTTCTTTTTTTTTTCTAATTTACCCATATTGTGAAGTTGTCACATATATATACAAAATGATACACAAACAAAAATATGTGATCGTTTACTTAGAATGAAATAATAATTTTTAGGGATTTTTGGCTCAGATATGTACTAAACTATGAAGCGCATTTCAAAGACGAGATAGTTTTAGTTTGTTTGAAAATCTTATTTAATTGATATATATTTTGAAACTTTATTCCCTCATTATTAATTTAACTTGAAAATTTCTTTAAGGTAAGTCACTCCTCAGCTTTTTAGAAAAGTTCACGCAGAAGCTTTTACTTCAAAACTACTTATAAAAATTCAATTTTTATAAAATATTTAAATTCAACAATGTAAATCTTTTAACATTCAATGAAAAAACTGCTCAAAAATCTACAAAAAAGCAAGATTTATGAGGGACTATTTCTTTTGGTGGAAGGATATTTCGCAGAAAATTCTGCAAATCTGTACATTTACAAAATTTAATGTAGTGGAAATTTAGCCTCACATACTTTTACTCGGAGAATATTTTCCGGTTTGATATTGCTAAAAATATTTAATATAGGTCTTAATGTATATTTTTAGACTAAGTTTTACACCTTCCCTCAACAAACTTTTCCAAAAAATGAAAATATATAAAAGAAGTCAAGGTCAAATTTACACCATTTTTTGACTGAAAATCACATATTTTGACAAATATTTCAAAATTAACATCACTGACCCCACCTTTTTCTTTCATTATTTTAAACTACTCGATACTTGTGACTGATCAGCACTCAAGTCGTAAAAAGTTTGATATAAGAAAAAAATTTATTGCCTATTAAGTTTTTTAATACCTCAAATATGCTATTTTTTAGTGCAAAAAAGTCACACAATAATTTACGCGCATTAATTTGCAAGATTTGTTTAATGATAAATATTATTCAATCTATTTTACGTAAAATAAGATTATATTTATTGCCATGCTTACATCTAATCAAATATAATAAGGGTTAAAGTAATTAACCAAAGAGATGAAATTTAAGTGCAAAAAGGTCAACTCAAATGTACCGTAGATCAGTAGGATGCACACTGACCCCCTATTTTCTTTGCGATTTTGAGTTACACTTTATGAGTACTTATCCAAAATATACTTCTCGAAAAATCCTTGATATACCAAATTTCAGGAGTGACTTACCTTAAGTCTTTGATTTTATAACAATCATAACTGCATTTATTGTTCTATAATAATTTTGAGAGGCAGAAAAGAGGATATTTTCATACGCCACTATTACATGTACGACAAAAAATAATTCTCTGCTCGTATTCAAACGCAGCTTACCATTTCTATTTGAGGTTGTACAAAGTACAATTGTGATGACGAAAAAATGGTCTTTTTAATCTCTTACACCTTTTAAAATACGTAACACATAAAAGCAAATAAACTTTAAACATTTCATCATGTCAGAAACCAGAGAAGATTCCTACCTAAAACTCCATTTTACGTATCTTTGTATATGCTGTCTTAGCAAAATTGTCTTTACATGACATGATCAATTCATATTATTTATTATGACGTCAGCGGTGGTAGATTTTAATCAAAATGACATACAGTATAACAAAACAAAAACATTTTATTTTTGTTAATGTTTACACGTTTCTATTCATTTCTATAGTTAAATTACATCTCTAATTACCAATAGTACGAAAACATGTGTTCTAAAATAAATGTCATCTCGCCTACTATGACTTCATAACGTAGCACTGATTTAATCAAGATAGAATATTTTGTATTTTTCCTTATAACCCTTTCTGGGTTTTTTGGTTTAATAATTTATTCTATGTTTCTATACGCGTATTGTGATTTTCTCAACAATCAAGAAATGACTGGCACTTTAGAACTGTTCATATTTGTAAATATGACCCGAAAAGAAATGATCATCAATTTCAACTGCCTTTTATAGTTACGTTGTTTGTTGGTAATATCATTCTAAATAAGCTCCACCCATTAAATTAATCAACTCCGCCAATTGAGACTGATGGGACTGTAAGGACTGCTTTTTGGGACAACTTGGACTGCTGGGACTGCTCCGGGACTGCAGAAGGTCTGCTCTGGGACCGCCGTGGGACTGCTTTAGCAGTCAAAAAAAGAGGATTTCCCGGAACTGCTTTGTGTAAGGTTGGTCTGCTTGATAATGCATGTAATGTAAATGAACTCCGATGCTTTTTCTTTTAATAACCAAATATGGTAGCAATGTTATATCACATGCACGCAGAATCCTTTTTCAGATAATATTATCGCATCCAAGTAAACTGTGATATTATTTGACAATCATTTGTTTTTACATACTTTTGATCATTTGCGTAAAGTAAAGAAATTCATCTCCTCCATCGGGGTCGCCTTTGTAAATTGTAGAAATATTCATGGTGATAAGAGTCTGAAAAAAATTATTGTTGAAAGAATAAATGCAAACTTTAAGACCCCTAGAAGATTTGATTAAGCATCGTATACCCACCTGCCCCCTAAAATATATGGAGATATGTAACTGATATAGCACATTTTCCCGTACACCGTATAGATAGTTTTCGACAAGCCAAAATTTAGTAAACGTTACCTCCCGTGGGCCGCAATATTGGAGGTCGACTCGGTGATTTTTCCTCTTCGTCTTACCAAGTTGAGGAAGATGTAGCAGAAATATTTGGTGGAAAATGTTCATTGATTTCTTTTTTTCAAATAAAGAAGGCTTCTAAAAATTTATATACTTCATTTAAAAAATGATTCCTAATTAAAAAGCAAATATAAAAATTTAAAAATCGGTTGTACAGTGAAGGGATATTAGAATTTCGACCTCCAATATGACAGCAAACGGGAAATAACTCTTGCTAAGTCGAAAACTATCTATTGACATAAAGTAACACATTTAATTATTATATAAATATTGCATGTAGTTGAGTGTAACATTGAAAATTTTCATCCCAAGAAAACCATTGTTAACCGAGGCGCAGCTGAGGTTGTCAATGGCTTTCTTTGGGTGAAAATTTACAATGTTACACTCAACTACATGCAACATTTATTATATTATACTGAATGTTTTATACAAATACGTGTTACTGTTACATGTACAGTGAACCGTGCGCGCATAAATTCTGTGCAGTCGCTATTTTTTGTAATACCACCCGTCGTCAAGCATTGTTGACTGTTGCTAAGCAGGACGGCTTCATTATTCAGCGGGTAATGTGTTTTTTATCAAATGTTTCTCGACGAATCAGATTCAAGTAATTTACATGAAAGTAAAATATTAAAAGATATTTCATTTTCGATAAAAGTTTTTAAGTTGAACTTGAAAAACGTTTTGTATGCATAGGTTTAAAAAAAAATCATAATCACTCGATAATCTTATAGTAAAAACACTGTAGAGAAGGTATTTAAGTGTGAAGATTAGCAGAAATTATAATGCTATTCTTAAATCAGCTCTACCTTGACAATGGCGTTTGTCGTTTGCTTATGCACAATAGCATTTCCCTTGTAGAAAAGGATCTTTCTAGCTACTACATAACACGGCATGCCTGTTTTTACTACAAAGTAAATGGTTTCGTTGAAGGTCTACGGCAGATATTAAAATAACTTAATTCCAAATCAGATTTTCAAGATATTTTATACATAATACTTCAAATGAGCCTTATTGAATCTATATATTTAGAAATTAAAACAATTACATGTATTTCAAACCCGACTTTTTGGATAAAATCTAATATTTTTTTTTCCTTACTCCCAAATTCTTTAATTTCTTCTAACCATTTTCTTAAAGAAGGTTCTTCGTGGTCAAAAACATACGGATTGTCTGCAAATATGACATACAGTTTTGGTCTGAGTGATTTCGGAAATGATGGCCTTTCTAATACTTCTGTGAAAATTCCCATGGGTTTCTGTGGTTGGCTTCTCATAATAGACAATTTCAGCACTTCGATACTCATTTTTGGTGTTTCAATCGCTTCGATTTTCATGCATTTGTACCTGGAATTATTGAAAAAAAAAGTTTTCATTTCAATTTACTCATCAAAGATCAAAGATTTTAGTCATTGCTTTATTTCTATCCAAGTCGATGAAGCAACAACATAGGAAATAATATACAGGGTGTTTCAGAAAACATGCTACCATTTTGATTGATTAGATTTTACTGGTGTTTTAACCAATACCATGCACCAACATATCTAATTAAAAGTCACAACTTCAAGATTTATTCTCATGAAAATAAAGATAATACGGCATATAGATGATGAATTACAAAAGAAAATAGAAACTTTAAAAAAAATTCACTTAGTTAAAAAAAATGCTCTTAATATCGTCATTTTTGCTGCAAGAATAAATCTTTCCGATGCAAGAAAGTTCTCATTACTATTGCAAAGAGTCTCTTGGAAATGAATCAGGTCTCATTTTTCAAACATTTTAAGTTCTCTCTCTCTCTCTCTCTCTCTCTCTCTCTCTTTTGGGGGGGGGGGTTAAACACTTTTACAATTAAATATCCCAACAGATAAATTCAAGGGATGTTACGTCTCGTGAGTGCGGAGGCCCAATTTTATGGATTTGAGAGAAATGAATGGTTCTCAAAACATTGTTCTAACATGTCCAAGGTTTATTTCAGCATCTGATCTATACTAGACTTGCTCAATTTGTTCACAAACTCATGCAGTTATTTTACAATGGGATATGTCTCTGGAACAGTGCCTCTTTCGTAACATTTTAAATTTTTTGTGTGTTATAATTGCATCTTTCTTCATTTTCCCCCTTTTTGATTGCGCTTTAACTCTTCCATTTGGTACAAAATTTAACAGATATACAACTTCCACTTCATATTGCTATTAGTAAGTTCTTTGCATTCTGTGAACCTTATTTTCATGCATTTCCCCAATCACAGGAACTGGTGACATGCTCTTATTGAGTAGCATCGGAATTTCCTACAATTGCTTTTTATTAAATTAAACTTAAAGAATGTTGAATTCCCTTTATCAGTGATGACAAATTTGACGTTATAATTAATTCAAATGGTAATTATTTTCTAAGTCTTTGATGTTGATAAAAACTTTTTAGCATAATTTTATATAAAACTTGCATATGTTCTTGTTTGTATATCAATATAGTGAGGAAAGTAAATGTTTGCATGTTTTCTGAAACACACTGTAAACAAATAAATAATTAAACAATTACCTAAAAGAATTGATTTATATATTATATTAATTATGTACAATGTATGTAGAAAAGTTAATATTCTTGTTTTCCATCAATTGATCATGTCATGTTTCATACGCACCTATTTTAAGATTGTCCGATGGCTTTAAACGCATTATTTTTTTTTTATTTTGAGCTAATTTATATAACTTATGCAGACCTGCAACTTTTAAAAAGATATTTACCGGGTTATATATTTAGGCATTTTTGTGTTGAAAAAATCATTTTGATGATCACATGATGTTTCTTGAAATATTTACTTAACATTTCACGAAAATTTCATCAGCAGAAGTAATGAAAAAAATAGTCGACAAATAAATCAATTAAGAACCCTCACTAAACTGCACACTAAAGAGTTTTGATTTTAAGGTATTTTTCTGCATAAGAGTGATCTGCCCTTAGATCTAAACACTAATAAAAAATGAAATATATCAATATCACAATATGATTTCATAACTTCATTCTTACGTTACATCATGATAAACTGCTTGAAGGAGATTCAATTTGCAGTCCTTGAAATAAATACATCCAGTAGCTACAAGTACGAAAATGCTAACCGTCTTTCTTTTTTGTATTGTGTTGCTATGAGAAATATTAACAGAACTTATCTTCTCGAAATCAGGACTGAATTCCGAATTGATAATACAATAAAATTCAAGACGGGATTTTCAGAACGTTCAAACACGCATAAAAAAACGATTTTTATTTGCACTTATTTAGATCGTTCTGTAAACGATTAATATACAAAAAAAGATGTCAACAAATATCGTTCATTTCTTTTTAGATTATTCTCTGATCTTAATTTCGTTTAATTTTGATTTTTTTTAATAATTGACATTAAGTAACATATTTTACTTACTTAGATTGCCTCGTGCATATGTATACACTAGGTTATTTATACTTCTTGTAGAATATATCATTTTGCAACTATTCAAGAGTTGTTTTTCAGGTAATGTCAATAATTTAAAGATCGAAAGAAAAAAATTTCAAACAACATTGAATACGTTTCTCAAATAAAACAGTAATTGTGACCCTCTGAGTGCTTCCAAAGCATATGAAGGTTCTGCAAACATTCAATTAAACCTGTTTATGCTGAACTACAATATAATTTAAAAAAATCATGAACTTTTTATTGACTACTATACAAAGATAATAAGCTTCTTTAAATTTTGTTAAATGCTAATTAGGGTCTTCCGTCTCCAACGGAAGACCTTTCTATCATTCTATTGTTTCTTTTTCACTTTTATTAGGATCTTCCGTCTTCAACGGAAGACCCTACTATTATTATATTCTATTGTTTCTTTTTCAGTTTTCTTATTATAATTCTTCCTTTTTTTCTTTAAAAAAATTATGCAGAAGACTTCTGAGATGTCTCTTCCGATTTGCTTCAAATTTTCATGGTAGATGTGTTGACATCTGAAGTTAATTCCTGCAAATTATTTTAGGGCTTTTTACTTCCGGTCGGAAATTATCGCCCTTTGATTGAAATTTAGAGGGCCTCCTTGTCTGTGATGGAACTCAAAAAATGGTTCTAGCAAGAAAGCTGAAATTTTAATGGAATGATAGAGGACATGTTGCCATATTGCACCTGGGTCAGGATATTTTCCGGAAGTTTCTAGTATGGAAGCTCGGTAGGGGTCAAAATTTAGGACACGAATCATGACTGATTTTTTGAGACATTTTGCATCATATCTTTTAAAGTATAATTATTTTGTTAAAACATACTGAGCAATATTTGTGCAGAATGACAGGATCATTAATATGATATCAAGAAAAAAAGTACTGACTCATCACTTAAGGGGTCAAGAGGGACCAAAAGTCTTTTTTCGATAACTCTTTAACAGTCAATATTTGCTATACATTTCTGAAGCAAAAATGTTTATTTAAACAATCTACAACTATATATTCTGATTTTGATGTCGTATGGTACATAATTAGGGGCTACAAGGGGCCAAAATGCTAAATCTTTGACGCTTTATCTCTAAAAAGTTGTAAATATTTTGAGTAATATTGAACAAAAGATGTTCAAAATAATGTATTGAACATTATGCGACCTTTCATTTTTCGCTGACGGGAGTTGAAGGGCTGGACCCTAAATATTTCTTTTTGCAAATAACTCGAAAACAAAAAAGAATCCCTGAATAGTTGTTGAACAAAAAGTGTTCAAAATCTTAACGGCATTAAGATAAAGTCTAGAAAAAGGGACTGGGCACGTAAATTAAGGGCCGAGAAGGGTCAAAACTCTTTAATTTATACGTCTTTAGCAGTCAACATTTTGTTATACATTACTAAAGCAAAATTGTCTTTTCACAACTTTTTCACAAATTCAAAAGGAAAAAATACAAACATGTACCAGCGACAGGTTTATGTTGAACCCAGAGCTAGTCACGGCTTAGAATGCATCAGCTGCATAAGAATTATAACATAATTTTTTAGGCTAGATGTAGCAAAATTATGCATCTAAATGCATTGCCCTGACTCCAAACTACATGAAATTAATGACACATTGTCACGGTAGCTCAGTCGATAGAGCGTTCGCTCCAGGTCGTGAGTTCGAATCTCGAGCTAGAGTGACCTTTGTCGAGCGAAAGATGTTAACAACTGCGCCATGCACTCCGTACCTTAAAAAGAAAGTTGCGGGAATTTTGGATGAAACCTTATTAACAAATGACCAATATCATGACAGGCGTTATCACGATTAAGAACCCTCCCTGCTCAATGGCCAAATAAAAATCTCAATTAAGAGCCCTCCACCGGTATATGGTGTATAATTGCAAGACATTCGCACTTAAGATAAAGTTCATTATTGACTAAACTGCATACGGAGTTTTCTACATCTTTTTTTTGTTTGTTTCTAAATATAAAAAGGAATAAATTCGTGAAAGTCAGTATGCATTGATAGCACACTTGGAATATTATCTTATATGTTCATTTTTTTTTCTAATTGGAAATAAGGCAAATCATTATCACAATAATACTTCATTAATTCTTACCGTGATGATAAACTGCTTGAAGACGATTCATTTTGGCAGTCTTTGAAATAAATGCATTTAGAAGCTTGACGTAGAGTTCTTATTAAAGAAAACTGGAACTGTCTTTTGTTCTTGCACAAATGTTGCTATGTAACATATAAACAGATGTGTTCTTCTTGGAATCAAGACTGGATTCTAAGTATATAAAAATACTTATGTACACGAAGGTGTTTTTACAGGTTTCAGTCATGTGTATACATGGCAGTTATGTTAAGGCTTCCCATAGCTTTAAATGCGTTTAAACGTAACATTATATTGCAAGGTCGATTTTGAGGTTTATTTTTAAGTAAAATTAAAAAAATATATATTTCTTTCTATTATGGACAATTCGTTATCTGATCTTGTTCATTTAGGTTTGAATTACCATGTTTTGGTAATTGCAGAAAGCAAACAAGTCTACCCATTAAAATTGCCTTATGCATACACAAGGATACTTTATACCTTTTAGAATATCAATTTATATCTAATCAATAGTGTGGTCCTCAGGTAAAGTCAGATCTAATGAAGAATTTCACACATCAATAACAAGTTTCTCAAATAATGCGTAATGCATGATTTTCTCATTGCTTTCATACCATGGCATATTTGTTACACACGAACATTTATTTTACTATTTAATGCTAGACAATCTGTATTGTATGATTAAAAAAATCCTAGCTTTTTGCCAATATACATCTACATCTATATAATTATCTTTAATACAGATCTGAAGACTTTATAAACTTCTTTAATTTAACTTTAAATGATTTCCTTTAAATTCTTAAATTTTAGGGGAAATGACTTGATCAATGTCAAAATTGTTTTTCCAAGAAACTTGGAAGAACAAATATTTACAATTCAGACAGAAAGAAAAAACGGAACGGTCTCTCACTCTCCTACCGTGTTACCATGTTATATATAAACAAATATTGTTTTTTTTTCTAATCAAGACTCGAATCCATGGAGATAAACACTCAAACACAGCCAGAGGACTTTACTGCGTTTAAATAAAAAAGTAAAGCCAAAGCTGTTATGAAGATAGTCAGTGATATTTTAAACATCTTTAAGTAAATCATTTAATCTACCATTATACATCTAGGAGTTTATTGAAAGTACTTTATAATATACATAGATTTAAGCACGTGCACCTACAGTTAATTTTTCTTTTCAAATTCAGAAGTATACAGGAAAAGAGTCAAATTTATCAGTGAAATTGAATTTGGTAATTCCGTGCTCCTTTTCGGCCACAGGAGCAGTCGATTTATTTGTATAAAAGTTTGTCTTATAATGTGCATGTGGAGAACTTAGATATCGCTTTTTTTATTTTCATTGGCTTCGATGGAATAATTTTTTTAAATACATATAAAAATGTTCTTTATTGCTTAATCTATATAACTTGTTCAATACATATGTGAACGGAATGATTTGAAGCTCTGCTTCAATTTAACTTAAATTATTTCTTTAATTCTTACTTTTATTTAAAATTCTATATTTACAATATGAGTCAGTGAATTATGATAAATATTTTAAAAATTACTTTAAATGTTTCAGCTGAGTAACAAGTATAAAATTAATTTGTTAGACTACATGTATCAAAAGTGTACATCTATATGCAATAGTAACACGATGTTGATTTAGAAAAAAACTTGCAATAAATGTCCTTTTTCAGCTACGCATTTGCTATATAAAGTCAAACAAACATGATTTAGATTCACTTGATACCTAAAACCAAGGTCCCATGCTTCTGCGGGCATTGGCAAGATGAAGACATCTTACTGTCTATTTTTTTTCTTAGTGCGAGTAAAGATCTTCATTTGAAATCCTTCAACGGTAAAAGATATACAATATGCATATAATTGCAGGACATTGACCACTCAGAAAAAGTTCATTATTTACCAAATGACTACTTCGTTTTTTATCTTCGTTTTGTTATGTATTCATCAATATAGTTAATTCTATAAATTAACAAAAGTCAATGTAGATTTGAAACATACCGGTACTTGGGATAATGGAGTGGAAACTGATTCGAAAAGTTGTGCAATTTTTCTTTTTATAGGGACAAAATTCAATTATTGTAAAATTGACTTGATCAATGTTACTAGTCTCTTTCCAAGAACCTGCAGGGCAAATATTTACAATTCGAATAGAGAAAAAATGGTCTGTCGCTCTCCTAAAGTGTTAATATGCTAATATAAACAATTTTTTTTTCTAATCAAGACTAGAATCCATGGAGATAAACACTCAAATACAGACAGGGGATTTTACTGCATTGAAACAAAAAAGGTAGAGGCAAAGTAGTTATGAAGATAGTCGGTGATTTTTAAAACATCTTTAAATAATTAGTTTATCTTCCATTATATATGTAGCACATTTTGAAAGTGCTTTATAATTTACATAGATTTAGCACGTGCAACTTCAGTTGAATGTTTCCTTTAAAAGTAAAAAGTATAAAGGAAAGGAGTCAAAATTATCAAAGATATTGATTTTCTTGCATGCATGCGCATAAAAACAATTTGAAATAATATTTAATAAAGGAAAAAGACTTTCACGCCTTATAATGACATGAACATTTGATCATATCGTTAGTCTCTCTATGTAATAGATAAACGATGACGCTCAATTTTAGGTGTTTTATTAAACATTTATTAACTTTTAATATATTTGAGACATAAATACGCAGCATTGTTAAGGCTTGAAAAATGGGGCGGGTCCTAATTTATACGGGGAAAGTCTACTATGACGTCATACAAAATTATGATTTTTAAGTATTTCTCATAATACCTGATAATGAAATAATTTGCAACTTTTAACTGTATTAGCATAATAAGCAACAATATAACTTATCAATGCATTAAAAAAAGTTACTAGTTAAATCCCATGTAGCTGGTTATAAACAAAGCACTGATCATGATGAACTTGTAAACATGACGTCATATTGGTAAAAATGACGTATTTTGTATGCTGTGAGGGGCAGATTGAGGAAATTGTTTTTAACAATGAAAAATGCGTTTTATTATTAAACGGAATATTATTTACAGGTTTTAAATAGTCGATTAATACCAATGTATATCCTTTGTTTCGTACGGTTATCAATTAACTACCAAGAGAATATATTTTATCATTTATCGTATGTCGTGTTTTTACGTATATTTTACATCGAGAGATGCCATATAAAATCGTACTTTCGCAAGGGCATACACTGCATAGATCTGAATCATTTTTTGAATATAGATAAAGGATATTATCCTTACCTTGAAAAGTGCCGCTGCTTTCTTTAAATCGAGGGCGTGATTTTATAAGTACACAAAATATTTGGTAAAAATCAAACATATTTCGACATTGGCCTATTTACTTGAAAATTCAAACTATTAAAACGCAAATTTTATTCAAAGCAGCAGCACTTTTCAGAAACTACAAAGTATGCAGAAACAATTAATAGCTTGAATTTCGTATTTCAACTAGGGTATGCCCTTGCGATATTGAAATTTGTTAATGACCTACATTCAGTGCACAAACTGTGCATTTATCACGTGACTGTCCATTGATGGGACTTAACTTCATTCAGTACAGAGTGGGTTATACTATGCTATTTCCATAAGTATTAAAGTTCTGTGATAATAAAACAGCTAAATTGAAATAAATTCAATTTTTAAAAAATCCCCCTTTTTTGCACGTCTATTTTCCGTTGATTTCTCATAGTAGGCCTTAACAGTGCTGCGAAGAAATTATTTTCTTGGGATCAAGAATAAATTTCAAATAAGTAAACCACTGAAATAAAAGAAAGGTTATTTACAAGGTTCAATCAGGCATGTACATGTCAAAAAAAATGATTTTCAATCGCACTTATTCAATGTTTTTATAAACGAACACTGTACGATGATTTCAAGTTTTCAAAAATACCCTTCAATTTTGGACTATTAATTTTCTCCTCTTAAGTTCATTTTATGTTTGATTTACCATGTTTTGACAACTGCAGAAAGCAAACAAATTTACAAAATGGGACACCTCCTACATAGGCATACACAAGGTTTCTTTTATTGCCTGTAGAATGGCAATTTATTACTAATCAATACTGCGGTCCGCATGTAGAGTCAGTAATTTACAAATCTAATGAAGAATTCCACAAAACATTGATTGCCTTTCTCAAATTCTGCAGTAACGCTTTACTGTATACAGACTTATTTTAGCCCCGTTTTAATTTCGCCCTTTCACATTTGAAACAAGTTTGCTCCGTTTTAAATTCGCCCAGAAACATTTTTGTTTCAGATATTATACTATTTACTTTGAATTTGCCCCGTTTTAAATTCGCCTACTTCCGACAAGGGCGAAAAGAGCGAAAATTAGACAGAGGCGAAAATTTCCCTGTACACAGTATCTTTTTATTGCTGTCTTTCCATAGCATATAAGAGACATGCAATTTTTTTTTTTACAATTTTATGCTGGGCATTCTGTTATGTATGATTTAAAAATCCTTGCTATCTGATTTAACTATTTTTGTTATTTTATCAAGCCAATTTTATGCAGATACCATTTTGTTTATTCCTGTATTGTTCTTAATATGACACCAAATAGTTTCGGTAATGATGACTATTGATTTTTTGACAGTTGTTCAAAACTCATAACAGGAAATAAACATGAATAGGTATTTGGCAATATCATTTAGAGGAATTTTATAGTCTACTATGTAGATTTAGTCAATTTGATTAAATAACCTTTAAGAAAAATTATACAAACAATAGGCCAGAGGGCCTTAAACTAAAGTTTAACCGAGTACCCTAATACACTTATCCACAATAAAATAAAGTTCATCTTTTAGACTTTCAAATCTAAACACAATGTTCATTTACTTAAAACCCAGAAGCAGAGCCGAGGATTTGGAAAGAATTAATGTATTTTCAGTATTCAAAATTGGTTAAAATTATCATGCCTATATATTATAATTTTAATTTTAAAAGGTGCTGGGTTGGGGGGATTTTATAATTTACAATCGATAATTTTATTTTGCAAAGCAAAAAATTAACGTACATGTATTCCTCCATACACGTAATCAACGAAATAAACCAACCCGCTTTTCAAGTATCATGGAATTTAATAAAATTAT